CACTGTACTCGGCTAGAAATTGGTTCGGTTAAGCTTTTGTTTAAGTAATATTCCGGCTCTTTCGTCAGGGTTTTGTTTATGTCCCCAATTCCCTAATCGCTTAATTATTTAACTACTACACTACTTAAGTAGAAATAAGTCGAAACCGGTTACTTTGTACTCGAATATTTGTAGTCTTGGGAAAAAGTGGAAAAACAAATTTTTATGATAACGATATATAAATCATTAATTTAAGGAAAATAAAGTCTTGAGGTTTTTTGTATCTTGTGCGTCTCATTCGTTACATTTAGTTGTAAATGATGTTGCCAAAGTAACAGTTCATATCTTTAACATTGTACATGAATTGTACACGTTTTTTCCTGCATCCCCTTATAGATGTGACATACGAAATCGTAATATCGCTAGTTTAACATTGAAATCTGTAAGTAATGTAAGATTGGAGAGCGGAATAAAACTATCAAATATTTTAATGGATTTTTTAAACTCCTGTCAACTATACAGAACTGTCATAAAAACATACCAGTAAATTCTTATCGGTTGGGTTAAGTTATAAATCTACTCGTGATTTATTCATTCACTCCGCCACTGATATTCGAATATATAATAGAAATTTGTACAATTGAAGAATATTTTGTACCAGGCATGTACTGTACAGTACATCTGCCACACATTTTATTTCACCAAGTAAATTTTTATTATTTTATTTATAATTTTAGCCCTTATATCGTGGCTAGCGATTCGGAATGTAGTTGTGATATAAAAATGCATTTAGAGAAGTCTACGATGTTTACTGGCTTATCGAATAAATGATACGAATGTACCTTAGACCATCACTGACGCGCAATTGACTGATTACCCGTGGATGGCGGCTTCTTACAGAAACACAGCTTCCCCATCATCAAATGTCATGGCACGCCACTGTATCTTAAGTATTAATACAGAAGAGTCACAAGTTATCAACATACTGAAGCAACTAATAACCAAATTTTACACATTGGATTCAACAACAATCAAATAAAAATAATTTTCTTCTATTACTCCTACATTATTCTAATACTGAACATGTTTTTTTTTTTATTTAAAAGTTTATTTTTACTTTTTGCTTAAGTTTTAGTTATGCATGATCACAATAAATAACACTGCACCAAAATATTACTGACCAAATCTTGTTTTAATAAAACAATATTATCTGTATATTTTTATTAATGAAAATATAGCATAACACTAGCTGGATGATCACATTAAACCCTGCGTTAGTGCAGAGTTTTTTTTCGGCATTAGTGCAGTGGGGCGTTTGTCCACCCCGACATTTTTTTGGGTCCATAAACCATGTAAGTAAAAATTCATAAAGTTTTACTCATTTATTTGGTAAAGACATGTGTCATTATACATATGATTATATTCAGGTATGATTACATATTATATTAGTACATAAATCCATGAAAATAAAAAACAACATTTATCAAAACTCATTACATTAGATCTTATTATTAAACCAATAGTAAAAATCTAAATTGTTTTTTAAGCATTTTTGTCACTCTGATTCAATAGCTGACATTGTACTTTGGCACTCAGTGCAAATGACAAGCAACTTGCTATGTTTGGTATTTTCTCAATGTGTTTATGAAAGTCAGCCATTTTGAATTAAAATAAACTTAAATTATTTTTATTCACATTGATTATTATATCTATATTATAAATAATAAATGTGGTCACATTATAGTTATTTGAAAAATAAAAAAAACTAAATAAATATTTGTAAAATTTTAAGAAAAACGTAATTAATACTGTGGGGTTTTTGGACACCCCACTGAGAACTGTTGTTTTTCTCTTACTGGAATTTCTGCAGCATCGTAGTAATTTCTGAGCATGCTCTATACATAAAATCATGAAGCTACTGAAGAGGACACAAATATTTCTTGCAAAATCTATGAATAGTGCAACTTTTAAAACGTCGGGGGTGGCGAAACACCCCACTGCACTACCCCAGGGTTAAAAAGCACTTATTAAATAATAATTTTGCATAGTAAAGTAATGAAGTAATGATTAAATAATGATCATCTAAATGTTAGCCTATTAATATTCTGCAAATGAAACTTTACCTAATTTACCTAATCAAATTTGTAATAAAATACATAATGCAATTATAATAAAATATTAATTAATTTAAAGTACTGTACGTACGTTAAAATATGAAAATAATTGCACAATATATATTTATATTTTAGAAAATACAAGGAAAGAGGCGCTTCCACCGCTTCCAAAGACGGCAAGCCACTGTTAATTCGAAATCCCGTTAGTTCGTAACCGTACTTTTGTTCCGACCGGAGAAATAGAGATTTACGCGTTATGGAATTCGGTTAGTTCTATCAATAAATACGGCTACTTCGAAATTCCAAGTGAAAATTCTGTCAACATGCTACAAGAAAACAATAGACCGAAAGCAACCGTAACGGTCAGTATGACTTTGCTTTTACAGTAACACATTTTCGGGTGTCACCTTACATATTTGTTGAGCTCTAGGCTATTTACTACTTTTGGCCGACTTACTGCATTTTGGGCCCCTTTGAAAATAATTTTGGGCTGCATTTCGAGGAATTCTGCTTTACTTTTTATAAAAACCTGTCTGTGAGGTTCTAAAACCTCACAGACAGGAACCTCACAGGTCAGTTTTTATAAAAACTGACCTGTGAGGTTCTAACCGGATATGTGCTGTTTACTTTCACATTTATATTATTATTATTATTCATTATTAATTAATTAATGAAATTAGCGTTCTGTATACGTATCCGCTTGCTTAATAAATTACGCGGCATTTGGCATATTGTGCAGAAGTACAGTACCTAAGCCTCGGATTCGAAGTCGCGATTGTATCGACCCTTGAATTTTGCGCTATCGAGGATTTCCAGTATTAATTTTTTCGAATAAACATTCTTAAATCAATTTAGTAATACAATAATCAATTTTATATTGAATATTATAAATCTTTGGTGATCGGAATGCCAATGACAATCAGCACAAATTAATTTAATGATGTTGGCATGAGGTAACTTCAATATAGTACAAAATTTCATTTCTCCACTGATGTAAAATTAAAATTACATTTAAATTAATTATCCATTTGTCAATGCGTCATCCTGTGTACATACGTAAATTAATATTTTTTATGATTCTGTCTTAGTTAATTAATTATACTTATGTTAGTTTAATGTGTAAGCGTTAAAAAAGTAGAAAAAGTATATTTTCTTAGAAACACACCTTTGTTTTATATACAAAGAATTTACTAGACCAAACGATTATAGTACGACCATAATACAAAATACATAATTAACGTAATGATAAATGACTAATATAGAAAATTTTTGTTAACAGTCTTTATGAAATTCATTCTAGTATATAATTGAAATAACATTTCAAAGAATTTTCAGATTTTAAATATGTATTTCATTAATTTAAAAAAAATTATCATCATCAGATATTTTGGAACTTACCCAATCAGGTACAAAATTAAACTGAATTTTCGTAATTTAGAATTTTTCATTATATCCAGAAATGTCACTTGCNAATATGTGTTTCATTAATTTAAAAAAAATTATCATCATCAGATATTTTGGAACTTACCCAATCAGGTACAAAATTAAACTGAATTTTCGTAATTTAGAATTTTTCATTATATCCAGAAATGTCACTTGCTTGTTTTTTCCTTCACTTTCCTAAATTTGAAATACATTCTTATTAATATATATTTATATGTGTATAGGAAATTAGCAATCACCTAAAACTATAATAATAATAATTCTCTCTCCAGTCACCTCTTGCTATGTGACAAGCTCAGTAATTCTGATGAGCCACAGAGATATGACAGAGTCACACATGCTGGTGAGGTCAATGGGAGAAATGAAGCCAAGAGTGACTGAACCCTCATCTCTGAAGGTGTAATACAGGCTCGCTCGTCGTCTAGGTTAACAAGATCCGCTCTCGTGTGTTAGCCAGAGGCTCACGTTCGAAAGATATGTCACAGTTTTCCTTGGCCACCAGTGGCAAAAGTAACACTGGTCCAATCACAGCTAATGCAATGCCTTCACCATTTGTGGGAAAACGTCTAACCGTGATGTTAATGAGGCCATCCAGCCACAGACCACTAAGGAAGGTGAACCACGTCAAATAATGAAATGGACGTCAGAAATGAACGAGTACTTTTGTATTTTTCGTACATTTGTACTTATTATATCATCACAACACTCGGAACAGATATGACATACTACAGATAACAGTTACATCACTTGTTTTCTTAACAATATTTTCATTGTACAGTCACTGTACAAAGAATTGTTGATCAAAAAGAACAGTTATATATAACAAACTTACACCACGAACAACACTAGAACATATCAAACAACAAATGACAGAACAATCAAATCAATCATATCAATAAATAATTACTTACAACATCAACAGTGATCACATCATCCTGTAGGATCATCAAGATGCATGCAGTGACAATACTGTTTCTACCATCACTATTACCTCTGATGCTGACAATATCAACACATCTTCATTGATAGAAATAGATTAATGTTTAATTCATACACCCTCTTTTATTATTTCGAAAGCAGTTATTAAAAACACAGGCATTGACCCTATTCAATGGCCATGCATTCTCAAAATCAACATTTCTAAACACTACGCTATGTCAACACTTGCATATTACCAGATTGCAGTAATTTTATTTGTATACTCTCAAGCATCCACACACTAGTCTATGCTGGTGCAGTTACAACAGTAAACATTTAGTGCCATGGATTTCATAATCACACAAATCGAAAAGCATTCAGAAGGAAAAAAGAGTGGAAACAAAACTAAAGAATATTCGACAGCAATTAGGCAGGGGAATAAAAAAATTTAATAACAAAGCAACAGCTATATTAATTAATGATACAACTAAGAACTTTTCAAGAAAATTAAAACATACACAAAGCACGAACAGCACAATGTCCATACATATTGCATTGACAAACTGAAACAAAAAGTTGCAGTCAATGCACGATAGCTAAACGTTACAAATTTTGCGCTGTAAGGAAACTACAAAGTATATTATTCACACAGAACGAAAATTTCTTCTACAGACAAATTAGTACAAAATTTACTACTGACTTCGACGACAATGGCAGGTCACATCCCAAATTCAACAGATCAGTTTACCATGCTCCACTGGAGAACAAAAATACATCTTAACCTTTATAATATGCACACAAATCAAACATATATCAAACAAAGAATTTTTCAACGAGATACCTGGACTCCTTTTTGTTTCTGTCTAAACCATCTTTTGAGTTACCTTAATAGACATCTCCATTCCAAACACTCATAATATGTAGAATATACACTCTGAAAAAAATCAACAAGTACAATCCACTCACCCAACAAATAAAGCAACTGTGGATAGGATGTTTATTGTACTTATTTTTCTTTCACTGATGTAATACCACAGCACAACACAAGAGTCAGAAATGTTAAACCTTAATTTAATAAAAACATAAACACGACACTACAGAAAGCCTCAATATTGAACACATATCACATTGTTAGAAAGTTTTTAGACGTGAACATCCATACCAATAACACGAAAATTTAATCTTATACTTGTTTGGGGAGGTATACCATGATTTTAGTTTGGCATAGCACTCGGCACAGTTATCGGTGAAGTGAGAAGATTAAGAATAGAATGATAATAATATTTAATCTTATACTTGTTTGGGGAGCTATACCATGATTTTAGTTTGGCATAGCACTCGACACAGTTATCGGCGAAGTGAGAAGTTTAAGAAATGAATGATAATAATAATAATAATAAATTTATGTATAAATTTTCAAATTTATTACTATTATATTTTAATAATACATTCAGTTAAGATACATAATAAAACAAATATGTTGTATCTGATAATTTAATTACCTTTGCAATGTTTTCAGTTATAACTTTGAATTTTTGAGTGAAATTTTCAATTTGGAGTTTACTCATTTTTATTGCCTTCCTCATTACTTTCTCGGCTTCATATATTTTTCCTTGGGTAATAAGCCATCTTGGAGATTCCGAAGTGACCCTTTTTACAAAATTACAAAAAATTACTTTCAAAGTTTAAAAAATTACCAGTAAAACTTAATTCGTTCTTTAATTAATTAAATTAATGCTTTAAAATTAATTTAAAATTAATTTTCTTACCACCATAATGGCAGACAGATTATGAATGGTAAAACATATATTATTTCTATATAAAACCAATCTCTGAAAATCCAAACAAATCCAGGAAGAGCAAGTTGTCCTAATACCATTCCTGCTTTAAGTGTTAATCCTACAGCGATTCTGTGTTCTTTTCTAACAATTTCTGTTGCTGCATAATATATATAGCAATTTAAAGAAATTATTTGAGTTTCTTGTATTTGATACATTCGAATAAAATTTTCAGCAATTCTTGTACAATATTTCAATAATAATTTGAAAAATAATCCTTACCGTGTACATACATAATTAGTGCTGAATTTGCCCTACCAAATGCAAGTAAAAATCGACATGCAAGAAACATCCAGAAAGACGAAGTAAATATACTTATCATACTGAATGTGAATGTCCATGCTGAACTCAAGTAGAACATAGGTTTCCTGCCAAATCTATTTGTGAGTGAAAAAATATACATTCAGTTATGCGTATAATAGTTGTATTCTATACTGTATAATCTAATAATAAAAGCATACTTATCAGATAATTGACCTCCAATGAAAACAGAGATTAAAAATCCTATGAAATACATGAATTGCACAAAAGATGCTAACCATGCTCTGTCACACACTAGATTCCACTAAAAATTAACAATATCATGTAACATTATTTAAGATTAAATACAATTGCATAAAATAGTTTTCTCACGATTGTAATCCTAAAAAGTTTCAATCATTTATTCCACGCATTCTTTACATGAATTCTTTGGCCGAAGATTATTTATCTATATTCATGAAGTTTATTTTTAACTTTCCTGGCTGTTATGTGTAACAGAGAGAACGTATGGCAATCGGTATAAAATGACCACCAAGAGTTTTACATTTTTGGACTCAGGGGACCATGAAACGTTGACAAATGCAAAAAAAATTCAGGAATTTTTCTGTATGTGTGGCTGTTAGTATGTTTGTGTGTGTGTGTGTGAAGCAATTTTCTTCACTTCGCTTGAAGCTCAATAACTTCTCTTCTTTTACTCGAACATTTCTGAAATTTATCAAGAAGGTTTTTTAGGTGTTATGTTAATAATTTTAAATGTTTAATGTTATGTTAAATGGTTAACGTTAAATATCAAATGTTAGTAATTAAAGGTCGAAGGGTAGAGAGAAAAAGGGCGTCGTGTGTATCTTTAGTAGGGTCCGATTTATTGACGATTTTACTCATTATTAACATTTAGATTTTTTTATAAAATCCGTTTCAACCCCCAAAGATAAGCTTTTTGCTATTTTATAATATTGTGATTAAAAATATACAAAGATTTTAATAATAAAATATCATAAGTATTGGCGTCACACACTTAGTTTTAAACGTTGGGAAAGTTAAACAACTCTTTGCTGGAGTTTTAATGTAGTTAATACTGAGTTAGAGTCCTTGGCAAGATGTAAGTAGAGAAAACCTTTCACTTGGATATATGAGACATAATTTGATTTGATTTTATATAATAAATTAGAAATGTACTAGTAGGCTTACAACGCAATTTTTTATAGCAGATAATGCAAGATAATTAGAGTTAGTGAAATAAGATTGGTTTAAAACAAAGATAACTGAAGTCAAATTCACAAAGAGATACGAGACGTTGCTGAATTTCCACAAAACGTTTATATTACAACTAAAACGTATGTACACAAAACAAAAGTTCACAAAACAAACAATTACAAAACGTCAGGTGTAACAAAGTTCAAATACTTTTAATCCACGACAACAGGTCTGTCGAAAAGAACACCTTGCGACCAACTCCTTCCAACGTTAGTTACCTCACAGCGAGACAAAACAATCTTCTAGGACAGCTTAGGCGAAGCTAGAACGAACATGAGTTCCCTTGATGTGTCCTAGGCGAACTAAACTTCCCGCCTCAATTCAATCCTTTTATACGGATTGAAGGAAAAGGAATTACACCAATCAGCGCTTAGTAGCGCTACAAGACGTCCGCTGGTGGTACCATGTCTTCCAGCCAATCCGCGGTCGAGTTTCCAAAGTTGTCTGATGGCGTTCCCATGGTGACAACCGTCGTTCGTTTGAAAATACGTAAACGCGCGGGAAATCGTATGTCGGACGATTGTATCCCGACAAATGAGATAGTAGATTTTTAAAGACTGATATATATATGGGATCTACGGTAGGCCTGAAAATGGCAAAGATTTGTTTAGAAGTGAAATATCAACAAATATGGAATATGCAAAGGGTAGATTACTTAACACGTTATGTAATGATTTATTGGTGATTTTTGATAATAAAATAACAAATACAGTTGAACCTCGATTATCCGGACTAATTGGGGATGAAGGTAGTCCGGATACGGAAAAATTCGGATAATCGAAACAAATACTTTAATTTGTCTTTTAATGATAAAACAACACGTTTTCTTTTCGATGACATATCGGTAATATTAAAAATAAATACTGTATTTAAATCGTGATCAAATTTTCAAGAAACAAATGTTTGTATTGAATTTGGACTACTACTGTCCAGCGCTAACAGACTACCTATTGTTTAAAAAGCCCTCCGGTAGCGCAAGAAGACGGATTTTATAAAATAAAAAGCAGTT